TGATATTGTATTGCATCCTTTACAGGAAAAAAATAAATAATTTGACTGCCTGATATGGTGTAATAATTTGTTTAAATGTGATCTTAATTAAATGTAATATAGTTGTTCCGTTACAAGTTTCTATTCATTCCGCATTATCACGTTATAAAATTGTCCTTTATTCCGAGTCAATGTAAAATTCCTATTTATTTCGTGTTAATTCAAAATCCCCGTTCACTTCGAGTTACTTTGTAACAGCATTGTAATTTTCCCTTCAACACTGTTTCCCTGAAAAGAATCTACAACTAAGGGATAGTAATATAAAGTAATTTTATTCTTGCCCCGCCCTTCGCAACAGAAATTGCATTCATTTCACACCTACACCCACTGCACTCCCACTGCAAAAAGAAAAATTCTTTTGATTCGATCCATACGAAGTCCTCTGGAACGCGAACATAATTTTAAACTCTCTTTTGATACCATTTTACGACGGGTGGCTACAATGAGGCTACTACCGCGTTTATTAACTACTAAGCTTATTAATTGCGTTCATTTTCGAAATTTAAAGTGCAGCGGTAGTTTAACGAGGCGAAAATGGCGCAGAGAAGAGACGGGTCGCGCGGTGAATTTCGCTTGTAAACAAATCTGAAAGACCGAGCCAGACATGTTCGTTTTAAGGGCGTAGTGAACGGCAAACGGGCCTATAGTGAATGTGGTTGACGTCAAAGGACTATTTTTATACTCTGTCCTCGCGTGTGCATCTTGTCGCGCGACAATCGCCCGAGAAATTGCGCACAGACGATTGGGAGGTTGTGAAAATTGACGCTCCGTATGAGGTCATGTTTCGCCGCGCTTCTTTCTAACGATTTCCCATCCTTCAAAGTTCGTTCGCTGCCAACTATGACGCTGAAACGTATCACATGCCTCGTTAATTACCATACCTTTCATTTTATCTCGCGAACGACTTAACAAGGTAACTGCGAACCTGTCCAATGAAAAATATGAGAAAATACAATATCCCGCTTCGATCGAGCCGTTATTAACTGCTCGCCAAGAGGAGCTATGTTTCGTGTCGTGGTAAATGAGGGAGCCTTTGCGAACAACCGTGGTGACGTTCATAAGTATTAATTACCGATCACGGTAGAAGTGTTAAAATTAGAGAAGAATGCAATCGTTCATCCAATTCGAGCGCGTGAAAAATTCCAAGTGAAATTGAATTTTGAATATTTGATACAATAGTTGCAGGAATTTTTGATTAAAAAGTTCAGGATCAATGGCGCTATAGGGATGGGGATATCGATACACGACGATTATTATTGGTTATTTTTACTACTATATCCAAAATGCGCAGCGAAACCTTTATAACGATGACAATGTTAACAAGCACAAGCGCGCTTCGGCTTTTATACGAATTTATAGTAATAATAAAAAGGAATTTGGAATTTTTTACTGTAATGGCAACAATTTCAAAATCACGCATTGAGAGCTTATGTGATTTTACATTCATAATAAAAAAAAAAAAAAAAAAAGAAAACAGGACAAAATTACTTTACTACCCTTTCGTGCAGTAGGAATATTCGGTTGAAAACAGGTGGCCGATGTGCTCAAGACCATAAACTCGGTTCTCCTTTTTACGCCGTTCTCCGGTTTCCAGCCACGAAATACTCGGATTGGGCTCGATTCAAACACGAGAATCGAGTTCGCCTGCCGGACAGCGATCTCTCGATCCGGAAATACGGCGTTCTAACCACTCGTGGCTCGTACAGAAATTGAATATCGGGTTCGTAGGTCAAACCACCCTCCATGGAGTTTCAAGCTCCTCCATGGCCAGTCGAGATTATGAATATCATGATTCCTCGTGGTTTGGAAAATTGGGAAAATTGGGGAAAAGTGGCGGCAGAGGGAACGCGGAAACGTTTGTGCAAGGTACTGAAAGAACGGCACTCGAATCGAAAGGGGTGTAGTTCTGGATACAAAATTTGGAATATCAAATGAAGGATGTACGTATGTGGTTCTTTGGTAGTATAGAGCAGTTGAAATTTGTTTGATTGGTGGACTCTCTTATGGTTTTATTTATATCCGCGGTTTTCCATTTATGATGGTTATTATTAGTTGGTAAGAGTGGTTGAGCTTATAGAATATTATATAAATAGTGATGGGAATATTAGAAGCAGATGGAAAATTCAAATAAAACGAGATTCTATTAAATATGAAGATGGAAATCCAAATTAAAAAATATGATTTTTAGTATTAATCTGACAGTCTGCAATTCAGCCGGAGATAATAGAAAAATAGATGCACAATCTACATACAAAATAAAATAGAAAAAAATAGAAAATAGAATTTAATTATCAAGCTTAAACAACATTCATTTTCTTGTTAATTCGTGAAAAAATCACGACGTAACCATTTTTTGCGCCAATTGGAGGACGTAGACGCGTGGCTCGTTTGAAATGAACGACCCACGAACCGAAAAGGGCGAGAGGATTCTCGCCAACGTTGCCGCCTTAGAAGCTCACGGGGGTATTTCCGTCGAGCGTTTCTTACGGTTATCGCAGTTATGGCGTGTAAATTGTTGCGCCTCGCGGAAATTGGAATTAGCGATGTCAGCGCGGACAAGAACAAGAGGACGAAAACAGGAATGTTTGCCCAATTAACTCGGCGCAATGCGCGCGTGCCATGCACGGAACTAGTTTTCAACGACTGCGGAAATGAAAATAATTAGCTAGCCAGCAGAAACGCGGGGGCTTCGAATTCTCCATCGTTGGGAAAAATCAGCATCCCGTGGAAATTCGTTCCGCGAAGGTAGGAGGCGCTTGCACGAACGATAACTCGACGAGTCCATGTATGCGCTGGGAAACCAGCGTTCGAACAGCGCGATGTCCTTGTACATGAATTCAAATGCACCATTCTCGTAGGTATTAACCGGCGCGAAGGTTTTCCGTTTCCACGCCATCTTCAGAATGTAATAAAAGGTTAGTAGTGTATACGAGGTCAAGAAAAGGTAGCGCCAAACGAACGAGTTAATTCTTGCTGGTAGCAGGAATTATGTCAGCAGATATTTATCGGAGTGGATTGTAAAATGACCTCATTTATTAAATCTTGATTTTTTATTCTGCTCGTTACGGGGGTTATATTTTATTTTGGTGTTGTCGTCGCAGTAGATGAATAATGAAGTAAAGTAAAAGGAAGAAGGAAATGTTTTTAATTCGAATGTGAATATCTCTCTCTATAATGTATACAATGCATGCAATGAAATAAGTAATGTGAAACCGTAACATGTGTCCACAGAGCACACGTATGAAAACTTTTTTACAGTACTTTTCAAGTACTGCATATAATCTATAATTTTAAACATTTTAGATATTACATGTAATTCTAAAAATTCGAATTTTTCGTAATTTAATTTTCTTCTGAACTCTTTCATCGAGAAATTCTTGTACGCAATGTTAAAAAGCGTAACAGTGACAGCCCCGACCTCGGCGGGGGCGTAAAAGCTCGAAGCCGTCGATGGCAATTGGCGAGGGCGTTCTGACACCTTTCGATAAATCTCGACGAGTGTTCGGAATGATTCTGTCTGTGTTCGAAATTTGTACCCTGCGGATTTTTACCCGGCCTCGAAAGCTTTTGGAAATTGGGGAGGGAAAGAATCGACGAAAGAGTGCTTGGAAATGGCTGAATCGACAGTGTACGTGACCCTCCCGTATCGAGATTCGAACGTAAATAATCGCGAATCCGATCGTAACAGTGTTTGAAGTTAACAGATGGACGAACATCATTAACAAATATTGCAGTTGTGGAATTGGTGTACGTTTAATCCGGCGTACGGTTGTTAACCTACGAATGCCGTGTCATCATTCGATCGTTCGCCAAAAGCGATGCTTTCTGTGCTAGAGATACGGAAAATATTTTTAATTTCCACTCACTGGATAGTTCTTTCATTTTTTTTTAAATGGAGACCTCGATAAAAATAACGATTACTAACGCTCCGAATTTTGGAAGAAAATATCTGTAGAACGAGAGCTAATGAGGAATGTTGAAGCTTGAAGGTTTCACTCACCTTTCAAATCCTACTATGCGATTTCAAATTGTTTTAAATCCTCCATTTTGAGGATCAAATATGAACTTTGATAACTACTTTTTTTTCTACTTTTATCGAAGAAGCGTTAAACTGTAGACATTGCAATTTAATTTAATTTTTCTTTTCATAAGTAAGTCTAAAAAAGTAAGTCTAAAAAAATACAACGAGCGTTTCAAATTGTCATAAATTTACGAAACAAAGTTGTAACCTCGATTTTCGAAGCTGCAGGATTAAAGTGCAAATCTTAAATTTTAACATTTCTTCGATACAAGTTGAGAATCTTTTTTCAAAGTCCATGTATGATTTCATAGTTGATGGGGTAAAAGAACATGATACGATCGGCCTGGCAGTGATACCACAGTATAGAAAAGCATCGCTTGGAAAATCGTTCAATAGGATTTACGAGCTGCAATTCTCAATATGGTTTTTTTTCCCCATCGCTGTTCAGATATTCTTCAGAATAATACAGAACCTCGACATTTGTTATTTCAGGCTTCAATGTTACGTAAGATAATACAGAATAAACCCAAACATGAATACAGAGAATCGATGCATTTTTTTTCTATAGAAACGTTTAATACTCGAATTGCAATTCCATTTCGGGGAATCGCCGCCGATTTGAGCCGCGCAATCTGCTTCTCTAATTCCCGCGAACGTCGAAAGCAGATTTTTGACTTCATGATAAATTCAGAATGGAACGCAACCGTGGTTCGTCGAAATTCTATTTTCCCTTCATAGGAGTATCGTGTATAAACGTTAATAAAATTTAAGTTATTTCGAACGGGACTAATCCACGGAGGCTTTCGAAATTCATTGAGAACTTATGATTGCAGTTGAGTAACGTTAACGTCACTAAAAAAATACATGGCCAATCTGCTTTGAACTCTCGCACACACCCACACACACACATATGTTTTCGTCACTAAATCGATGAGCTCACCTTGTCGATATCGATTCGTCGAACGTCGATCGACGCGCACCTTTTCACCCCACCATTTCCTGGCACTCGACCGAAAGAAAAACCGGAAAATGGAACTCGCTTCAACTTGAACTACGGGAACCTTCTCGAACGTCGGGACGTCAAGACGATAAAGCGTCCAAATCGATGCGAACGTCTCGCGAGGTTTCGCGTGCGGTGGCCCCACGGTGAACTGATTTAAATATAGACTGAACCAGCCTAAATACGCGCCTGACATCGCCCACCTCGAAGAATCACCACAGAAACGATTCTACTTCATCGTCAATAGCGTTTGGGGAAAATGTAGTGCGATCGATCATTAACTACCGCGATTTACAGTATAAATAAATTGATAATCGATGATCAGTCGTCGTGGTTGACGAATAACACTGCTTTACGCTGAATTTTGTAGATGCTTGATTATATTTTCTTATGGGATATTTTATTATATTTTCCCTATGAATGTTCAACAGGTACGGTCACTGAAATGATTTTGTTTGACATATCATTTCAAATAATACGTTATTAAATTTCATACTTATTTTCTGCGACCGCTTTTAGAATGACATTATCTGAAATAATATGTCAAAAAGAGATTATTGCATAATTATTTGAAATAATTGTGAAATTGTTCTTAAAAATGAACGAATGACGTAAAGTATAAAATTCTGAAACCTCTCAGAAAACACTTTGGTTTCGCCAATTTTTTTTCTAAAATTTCTAAAGGTTAGTCTGCATTTCATTCTAAACAACATAGAAACGTCATTATTGTCCTGCATCAGATTTACTAAACAGGACACGTAAGTTCCAGTACGAACTATTGGATACTATCGAACAACCGCGACCATTTTGGTTATTGATGTATAGGTTAACAACGAGGAACGAATTACAGGGCGAATCGCGAAACTCGATTAAATATTCCTGCTCGGTTGGGGTTCAATTATGAAACTATTACGCGGTGCTTTTAGTTATTGAACGCAAAATTACGAATTCATTGAATTATGAATTACGTTGGCCGAGCGGTTCCCTTTTTTGCGAACGGCGAACTCGCGGAAACGGAAGAAATCGTTGGGAAGGGTGCACTAATTGGTTCGCTCGTTCGATACGCTCCTCTCGGATAGAGCACGTTTACCTTCGATAGATTGGTTGCTATATTAATGCTGTGTGTGCGAAAATACAGCAATGTAATGGAAACGGGGAGGGCGGGCAGGTCTTGTAACAACACTTCTCAAATTATAGGCAAATACTACGCGAAAACTCCAAGCACGTGGAATACAATTGCGTTTCAAATGACCGACGAAGGGTCGAAATATTTCCTACACTAATTGTAAGATGAAAGGCATTATTCAACATTGGATACTACTTGATGAATGTGTACCAGTGATATAATAAATAAAAGAAAATTATAAATGTTCTTATATTAAAATGAAATCAGCAGTAAAAGAAGAAGAAAAATAATTCCTATTAATAAAGAAAAAATACGTCATTATCTCGAAAATAGGAAAAGCGTTACAGAATTTTGTTTATGATTCGAACTACATATTTCTCTTTAAGCAAAAATTTATTCGTTTGACCTCTCGTTACCTAATCATTAATAGGAAGTCTCTCCGACAAAACATCCAAGTACATTAAACAGTGCTCACAGGAACTACATCCGCAATTTTATCGTTACTTCATGTAATACGAATTTCTTCTCGTTACAATTTCACATTTTGCGTATTAATGCGGAACAGAGGGTGGATTCGACTTTTTAATCATTTTTATACATACGTATATCGCGGGATTTTTCTCACCGTGACGGAGTTTAATTTTTGTCCAGCCGGAACAAAACTTTATGGCGGTTAAAATAATTTCTGCCGCTTTACAACGTCGGACAGTTTTCGGCTTATCCATTTTGAAATTACCTTGGGTTACCTAGGTCTTTTTTTAACCTCGTTCCTAGTTTCTCACTGGCTCTGCCATCGCACATTTCGTGGGTATTTAATTAGATTCGGTGTACAGGGTGATTCCGAAGTTTTGTTACACAATTCATTGAAAACAAACAAAGGGATTCCGACAAACATGGTACAAAATATCATTTATTTCTGAGCTGCAGCAGATACGGTACATTCCTCCTCTATATTTTAATAAATGATTGGAACACGCTGTTGCTTGTTACAGCAGGTAAATTTTGCAGGATGCACGAAAGATTTGTTATCTACGCAAAATGTAGAGCATGAACAATACAATATTCTGTCGAAGGTAAATTTAAAAAAAAAAGGTATGTTTTACAAATTTATTTACGAAGCAGGAGACACTCTACTATTTCACTTCTTTGTATCCTTTTAAATCCCTGTAGCTCTAAACATTGGTCACTTTGCGAAAATCAGTGTCTATTAAAATGTCACAGATAGTACGTACCAGCCCCGTAAAAATGACCAACCCGATGAATTTGTAATTTACCTGGAAAGTTATTCCAGACATTTATTTAATTCCAAAGTGCGAACGCGAGCTATGGAACCACTTATTGCGTATTTTCTGTGCGATTAAAAAGGATTCTGGAATTATTTAGTAATACGGTAGTTAATTGTAATTTCATTGTACTCGAGCACGGGCGGCCGACACGCGTTAATTGGCCAATCGGAAAAACAAACGTGTTTATACGATTGCAACATGTTCCGCGTTGCTGATGCATGTTCAAGTTAATTGCAACGTCGACTATTCTATAATTGCTCGAGTCGGCTGGGTCTGATACCAGGTCGTGTCAAAGTTAAAGTAACTTTGACGCTTTAATAGGACCGCGGGAACCTGTGCAGGATGCAATTTAATGAGGATTACGTTTTTAAAAGCAGTGGCGCGCGCGACTCTGGGAAATTCGAGTCCTTCCACCTAGGAAAGGAGTTCCGTCGTGTTGCCCACGACAAAGGTTCGCCGTGCACGAGTCTTTGTTGAGCAAAAATTTTTACTAACCCGCGAAAGGCAAGGAAACGGTCTCAAAGATGCTCTCGTCCAGGTGACATAGTCTGAAAATCATTTTTCTCGGGCGACTAGAACTTCTACGAATTTCGAAAACCACCACCCTCCACTATTGCTTGAATTTTATTTTACGGTTTAAGTTATGCGTCGGTGGGTTCTGTTGCTTGAATCTTATTCTGTGACGTTATTTATGCATTGCTTGAATTTCATTCTATGGTGTGAAATATGCATTGCTTGCTTCTACATCCTGCATTTTATTTTGTAGTATAACGTATTCAAAGCTTGGTTATGTCGCGTGCATTTTGATTTTGGAATATGAAATATTCACAAGTCGACTCTGTTGCGTGAATCTTGGGTTATATATAAAATGTCCATCGCTTGGTTCCATTATTATTATTTACTTCTAAAATTAAAAATTGCAATTTTGGGACTAGTCTGAAAAAATACTTCCGTAGATTTACGAGAAACGCGACTATTTTATATGCATAGAGAATAAAATATTAAATTTAAAAAAAGAATGCTCCGTCATAAAATATCCCATGTAGTAATTATTCATCCAGGTATGCTGTCGACGTGCCTGATAAAACATGGTTTCGAGACAATGGAGATAAGGCTTAGTTACGTTCATAAGTTTCAAATAATATTTTTAATCTTGTTCCTTCCCAAGGCTCAAAATATTCAGTAAAGATCTATACTTGAACCCTTACATCCCTTAACACTAAACCTACCGACATTTATTTGTATTTACATATTTTTACCGTAATCGCTTAAATGGCGGGTCTTAAAGACATTTTCTCTAATTGCATGCAAAATTATTTCACGTGATACTAAATTCAATAATACACGAAACAATTGTATATAATTTGTATATTGTATATAAGAACTGTACACAAAAGTTGGAAAACGGTCATTTGATCGGTCGTGGTCGGTTTACTGTTAAATCAATAACCGTCTAACCATGTATGATACAATGTTTATGCTCCCACGTCGCGGCTGAAAATTCAATCAAATTTTTTCTTGCGGCGCATCGAAACACCACGTGACACCAAGTTACCCAACAACCGGAACTTCTTGCAGCCGATTGAATTTCCCACTCGACCGAAGAGCGTTCTCATGAATCGATTAAACGTAACTTCGCGTGATCTACGCCGGGTTGTCGCCGCAACGTCCAATTTGCGCCCAAGAACACCCTCCCCCCATTTTTCAACCACCCCGCGAAGTTTTTCTTCGCTCTGTAATTTTCGCGGCTCGGGCAGTTAGCGGCGCTAACTTTCCGATTGTTTCACCGCGATTCGCATTGGTTCGCGGCCGAAGGAGGAGCCCCGTTGAATTGTAAAACTTGGATAGAAATTTTGAACGGTGCCGCCGGAAAATTAAAGCCCCGCTGTACTACATCACCGTGGGTAACTCAGGATTCTTGCGCGAAAGTTCTCACGGCGTTTCATGGAAGATTGCGTAAAGCCACGAGAAGTTTGCGACGGCCTCGCATAATTCCGCAGGCGCTATGATGACAAGGATGACAAAAAAGAGAAAAATAATTAGAAGTAAATACGTGGGGGTGTCTGTGAACGCGTCACGCTAACAGCAACAGCATTTTTATTTTAGAAAGGAACTCTTTAAATTGAACAGGGTTTTCGTGATTATTAATTTAATATTGTAAAGGGAAATTTCCTCGAAATTTCTGTGGAACACCATATTTTTCCTATGGATTGAAAAGTATAAAGGAGAAAAAACGAAATAAGGGAGGATGCAAGATTAAAAGCCCCCGTTGATAGAGGGGCAATTAAATGCTGTGAAGAGCCGTCGCCGAAGGAACTAATTGGTTAATCATCGTCGCTGAAAAACGAACGTAGCTCACGTCTGCGTGTGAATATTCAATTCAACCAGCCACGTTAATCCAATTGGCTATTATCTGTATCGTGTTTGGTGGTTTCACATCGTGCGGGATAAAAAGTTGTCGCCACTCATCGGGTAAATCGCGACATTTTGTTTTTAGACAAAATGTCTAAATCTGGAGCGTCCACATCTGGAGCGTGCTACTTAATCGTTCTCGTCGACTACAAATGAAGATCTGTGAGACCAGTGTCTCTAAAATTTGAACATTTCAGTGAAAACTCTTGGTAAAATATCATTTTTGATGGACTTCCTATAGTAGAATTTAATTATTATTCTTTAATTTCACGTACCTACTTAAAGAGTTTTTAATTCATTTTAATTGTTTCATACTTTTC